CTTAGAGTGTGTTTTAAGTACCACTACATAGCTGTGTCGTAAAACGTAAACGTAAAGGACGCAACAGAACTAAAAAAAATAATTAAAAAATGCTTCAAAATACTTCAGTTTGAATATTCCATAAGAACGAAAACGTAAGAATTTAACAAAGAAATTTAAAAACACAACGCAATAGAGGGACGTAAATATAAAGAAGTAAGACCGTAAACATAACACAAAACATAAAAATTAAATGTATAACGTACACATAAGAACGTAAGCGTACGCAACGCAAACGTAAAAACGTACATTTAAAAACGCAAAGGACGCAGAAAAAAAGTAAAGCATTTCCATCAGAAAAAAGTTAAATTTTAATGTATTTTACGTAAAATTGTAATAACTCAAACACAATTTGAAAAAAATTAAAAAGTGAACAAAAATTGCGAAAACTATTTAAATACAAACTTAAATTTACCACATACATAATAATTGATCAAATGAATGACAACTGAGTATAAAATTGTGACGATTAAATTTGACAGTTTATGTTACCAACTTAATTTCAAAATCATAAAATATTTTTAACTGTCGATTATTTTATTATTACCATAATATCGCACTTGATTTAGTTTTTTCTACGTGTGTGATATTAGTTTTCTAAAATATTTGTACCAAAATCGCTTCTTTTTAAATAAATTTATATTTTAAAGCTATGCAACCAGTTTTTTTAATACTCTAGTGGGCAGGCAACCAATTAAACACCAGTTTGTCAATCATTTATTTTTCCAAATTTTACAAAACCAAAGACTAAAAATAAGCTCAAACACTTACAAATTGTGTAATTCCACACATTTATAAACACACAGTATTAAAAAACTCAACAAAAATAAACATACCGCTTGCGTATCACATCCTTGGGAGTACACTTTTTAATCTGGACTGTTATTACCACAAGCGTGATAAATAAAACCACGTAAAGTAATAAACCGACCAAAAATAAAACAAATCTACGTGTGCTCGCCCCTTTTTCTTGTTTGAACAACACCAGCCCCAAAAACAGCCCAGCAAGCCCCCCAATCATGTGAGCCCCCCAGGAAATCAGCGGCTCCTTTCTAAAACTCGCATGAATCACGTTGTAAACAACGTCAAAAACGACAATAATCGCGATACAAACCCCTCTGTGGATTTTATAACTCAAGGTGGCGAAATTCTGAAAAAATTGTGATCAAACCTTGGCGTTTTTCGGTCCCAATTACCAAAAAAATATCAGCCGTGTGCGAAATCAAAAGTGCGTAGACGCCCCCGGAGGCGCCGATGACCAAATCCGGGTGGAAGCACGCCGCCCCCAGGACTCCGGTCACGCCTCCGGCGACGTACAAGGCGAGAATCCGGGCACGGCCGTGTCTCGCCTCCAGGAAAAAGGCGAAAAGGACTTGCATGAGGATGTTGAGGCCTAAATGGATGCAGTCCTCGTGGAGGAGCATGTAGGTGACAAACCGCCAAATTTCGGTTAGGTTATTCGGTTCGAACCGGAGCAGTTTTTGGGTGGTTTCATCCGAGGCGGCGTAGACGATTATCTGATAATTATCATAAACATTGGCTAAAAATATGCAAAATCTGGTTTACCTCCAAGACACTGATTGACAAAACACCGAAAGGGGCGTTTTTTGTCCACGCCCACTGGGACGGTTTTCGCGGTGATAAGGGAATTGTGATAAGGGTTTGGTCGGGGTCGGTTTTTTGCATTGTGAATTTATTTTGGGCGGAAAACTTGTGATAATTGATTGGGTTGGGGGTGGGTAATGGGCCACTTACTGGGGCATGTGGAAAGTCCCGATTTTGTGCACTACACCGCATAGAGTTTGAATGAAACTGAACCAACTATAAATAGTTAAAGTTGTAAAAAGAAAAAACTTGCGTTTAAGAAGGTATTTCGCTCTCGAGGAGAGTGAAAATAGTTAGACTTGACTCCTCTGTAATTGATACACCTACTCACAATTTAGTTAATGAAGAAATTGGAGCGAAATGGGAGATAAAAGTGATAAAACCGATTAAAAAATACATTTGTTAGTCTTTGTTTAATTTATTTTATTTATTAAAATAATATTTAAACCAAAATTAATTTCTACTTAAAAAATTGTTCTGAAACAAGTAAAAATCTAAATTTCATGAGTAAGAGATTAAACCAAAAAAGGCTAAAAACACATAATTGCCCTGTTAGTTTCGAGTACAGGCCCTTTTTTTACTTACCGTTTCGAAATATTGTGATTGGGCCAAAAATTAAGGTAATAGTATATTACACTCGAGTTGGAAAATGTCATTACCCCGAGGCTCAGGTCAGAATTGAACAATAAAAATTTAAGTATTAAAAACGTAAACTTTGAATGTAAGGACGCAAAGTTAAAAACTAATAACGTAAAAAAAAATATAGTAAGTACCTCAAATTCTAGAAAATCTAGAAAAGACGAAATAAAAAACATAGCAATAAAAAAATTAAAATCCAAAATATTCTAAGTTTGTATTGTTTAGAGCTAAGAAAAGTCAAAAAATACTTAAACAGAAAAAAAAAATATAAAAACGTAAGAAGAAAAAACATTTCAAACTAAAGAAAAAGTGAAATTGGTTCAAAAACCAAGATAATAGTATATTACAACCGAGTTGGAAAATACGTGAGTATCAGCTAGGTCAGCAGGTCAGAATCTAAATTTCAACAGTAAAAAACAAAAATTCAACAAAAAATCTTGTTAATATTAAACTTTAAATGTAATAACGCAAACTTGCGATTAAAAAATAACGTAAGAAAATAACAGTGGTGGTCTATCTTATCTAGAAAAAAATAATAGAAAAAACTTAGCAAGTAAGAATAACTTAAAAACCCATAAATGTTAAAGTTTGTTAAAAACTAAAAAATGTTAAAAAGAATATTCAGACATAAAAAATAGTTACAAAAAGTAAAAAAAAAAACAAAAATTATATATTATATTACACCCGAGTTGGAAAATGTCATTACCCCGAGGGTAAGGTGAGGAAAAAACAAGAATTGAAGAATAAAAATTTAAGTATTAAAAACGTAAACTTTAAATATAAGGACGCACATTTAAAACTTAATAACGTAAAAAAATAATAGTAAGTACCTCGAATTTGAAATATCTTATCATGAAATCTAGAAAAGAAAAAATAAAAAACATAGCAATAAAAAAAACTTAAAAACCAAAACATTCTAAGTTGGTATTGTTTAGAACTAAGAAAAGTCAAAAAAAAATACTTAAACAGAAAAAAATAAATATAAAAACGTAAGGAGAAAAAACATTTTAAAGTAAAGAAAAAGTGAAACTGGTACAAAAACCAAGATAATAGTATATTACAACCGAGTTGGAAATTATGTGATTAGCAGGTCAAAATCTAAATTTCAAGAGTAAAAAACAGAAATACAACAATGCAAAAAATCTTGTTAATGGTAAACTTTAAACGTAATGATGCAAACTTGAAACGTAAAAAAAAATAACGTAAGAAAATAACAGTGGTGTTCTATCTTATCTAGAAAAAAATAAAAGAAAAAACTTAGCAAGTAAGAATAACCTAAAACCAATAAATGTTAGTTTGTTAAAAACTAAAAAATGTTAAAAAAAATATTCACACGTAAAAAATAGTTATAAAAGGTGAATAATAGTATATTACAAGCGAGTTGGAAAAAAACATAAAATCAATAATAAAAAAATTGAGCAGGTAAAAAACGTAAACTTTAAACGTAAGAGCGCAAATCTAAGATTTAATAACATAAAAAAATAATAGAAAATATCTCGAATTTTGAATAAATCTTAAGTTCTTATCGTAAAATTTATAAAAAAAACAAAACAAAAAACATAACAAGTAAAAATAACCTAGAAATTTTGTTTTCTTGTTCAGAACTAAGAAAAGTAAAAAAATACTTAAACAGAAGGAACTTCACATGTGAAAAATAAATATAAAAACCTAAAAAAACATTTTAAAATAAAGAAAAATTGTAATTAATACGAAAACCAAGATAATAGTATATTACAATCCAGTTAGGCAATATGTGCATGATTATCCTCAAGACCCAAGTCATGTCAAGATCTAAATTTCAACAGTAAAAACGTAAAAACGCTAACTTGAAACGTATAAATTTATTTTAAAAAACCGTAAAAATAACCGTGGTATTTTATTAAAAAAAAACGTACAAAAATAAGCCAATGATTCTAAGAAAAAGGTACAAACGTACGAAATTATAACAAAAATGGCGAAAAACATAGTATAACATTATAAATTGTATTTGGAAGAAAAGTATCAAGGTAAAAGTAATAATATATTACAACTTGGTTGGCGCGGCCTTGAGACTGAATAGTCCAAGAAATTACATTTCCACCGAAGTTTGTATGTATACTATTTTATTATTACTATTTTTTATTTTAGTCAATTATTTGTATAAAATATATGTTTTTAACAAAGAATGCATTGACGTAGTAGACTGTTTAAAGAAATTGGGTTTTTGACATTTGACGTTTCTCATTCAAAAAAAAGCAATGTTAAACTTGACATGATTGTAAATAAAAATTAATAAAACGCGACTAATAACCTCAATACTTATTTTTGCATTTTTTGTATAGTTAAAAAAATAGGTGTACAATTGCGAGCACGGAATTTTGGACATCAAATTCATGTCACTTCAAAAAATGTCAGTGTAAGCCGCGCTTTATTGTCATTATGATTGACGTTTGAAACTGAAATGTTAAGATAAAAATTACAAAAACCATGAGATTAGTTGCATAAGGCCCACTTTACATTTTTACGTCAATCGAATGACAAATCATCCTAAACTCCGTGTCCGCAACGGAAGGCCTTTTTGACATTTTTATTGACAATTTAATAAAAAAAACATTTTAATAATTTTTTTTCACAGTTTTCTCGTTCAATTTTAATTAAACCACCGCCAGATGTCGCCCACTCTCCAATGACGTAACCCTAACATTGCATGACCTTGCATATGTTTGTAAACACACAGCCACGTTGATCTGTTTGTAAGATAGTGTAGCGTTCTTGTGAATTTCCCCTTTTGCAAAGTGCTTTTCCACCCCCAAAATGGATTTCCAGGAGATGTCAGTGATCGAGGAGCAAACCACGACGGTAAGTCCCCGATGACAATGCAGAAAAATCGCGAAAATCCCAAAAAAATTCCCCTTACAACCCCCCCCGCCCACAATTCGGTGTTTCCAAGCCCCAGTGGGGCAACAACACCCCCATGGGGCCCGCAAGTCCCATTCCAGGCCGAATTTTTCGGGAGGCACTTTTGGGTTAGCAACACTCACTGCGCATGCGCGAGTCAAGCGCGCCAAATTCGAATTTTTCCACAAAAAACGCACGAATTGGCGTCCTCATTCGGGAGTTTCACGAACAAACCGCTGAAAAACGGTAAACTGCACGGTTATCGAGTGCACGTGTCGCATATTTCAGCACGGTAACAACGGAGTTAACTGCGCAATAACCGGTAATGTTGTAGTCACGTCTGGCTTTCCACCGGCTTTACTACGCATTTAGAACGCTAGCACGGTAAGTGGCTTTTCCCCGACCGAAAAACCCCCGAATTTAGCGGTGATATGTGAGCAAAGTGCAGTGGTGGTTCCCCCCGAAAATCGTAAATTTTTAGTGTAGTTTAGAAAAATTGCGTTTTTACGCCGGTTGGCCTTGACATTGGGGTCAGTTTTTGCAAATTGAAAAAAATAAAGTCCCTAGACCTGAAATTAGACAGTTTGCCCCGCCTGCCTTGACCTCAAGACTGTTGTTACAGGAGGGCCCTCACAGGAAGGAGTCAGGAAAGCGGGGACGCAAACCGGGCCGAAAATCGAGCGATAAAGTTGACATGAAAGCTAAATTAGGTGCGTATTGATTGGTTTTCCCTGTATTTTGTGACATTTTCGTATTTTTTAGAACGTAGTCGACAAAGTGCTAGAGAATGTAGAGCGAGGAAAAAGCTGCGATACCAATATTTGGAGGAACTCGTCGCTGATAGGGAAAAGGCCGTTTTTGCACTCAGGAAAGAGCTTGAAAAGGTGGGTGAGGTGGGGAAATGGACTCGGTTTTGATTCTGATTGGTTGTAGTTTCAAGTATGGGCGAAGGAAATCGACGAGGGTAGAATACCGGAGGATATTCATACGATTTTGGAGGATGTGGGGGCCCTGAAGAAGGAAAAGCAACTCCCAATGTGATAATTTAATTTTTGTGACCATATTATATGTTTAAAACACACTAAAATAGACCTATATTGTTATTATTATTTTACTACAAAATACAACGTTTTATAATTGTACTTTTCCCGTTATCATGATATGTAAATATTGGAGGATACTGTGATTCACACATTACCCACCACTTTTCAACACAATCATCTCATTGTTGTGTTTGAAGCTGTAAAAGTGACACGAGTACTAAAATCACGTCTTGTGACCAAAAACTCCCCAAAATGTCGCAGGTAAGGGATATTTTTCTTTAAATTTTCTACCAATTGGCAATTACGTCACATTGCGTGTGGTTTTATTCCGTTAATTCTAAAATTTTGTTGATTTTTAACCTAAAAATGTGTATTGTTTCCAAACAAATAACTCCAAACACATTTTCAATTTTTTTTTCTTAAATTGATGATTCCGTTAATTTTTCGAATTTTTTCTACCGTCAACTGGCAATTACGTCAAGTTTTCAAAAGCGGTTTGGCTTTAAAGGTTAAAACTGATTATATTTGGATTGAAATAAACATTGCGTGTGCTTTTATTCGTATAAAGATGTGAATTTTATTGGTTTTTGACGTAAAAATGTTCATTTATTGTGTATTTTGGAAAAACAACAAAAATCAAGCCCTGTGGCCATAAAACTCTCCAAAATGTCTCAGGTAAGAACTAAATTTTTGGCTTGTAAACTAATAATTTGAAAAATAAAGTACTTTTTGAATTTTCTTTTCTTTCAATTGAGGGTTATGTCAATTTTTTGAATTTTTTGTAACGTCAACTGGCAAATATGCCAATCTTTGAAACAGTTTTCAAAAGTGAGTTAGTTTAAAAGGTTAAAGCTAAATGTCAAATGAGAACTAAATTTTCCGAATTCAAATTAATAATTCCAAAAAATAAAACACATTTTGAATTGTTTTTCTTAAATTGGCAATTGCGTCAATTTTTCGATTTTTTCCTACGTCAATTGGCAATCACGTCAACTTTTCAAACGGTTTTCAAAAACGGTTTAAAAGGTTAATAAAACTAATTATATTTAGATTGAAATGTATAAAGATGTGGACTTTATTGGTTTTTGACGTAAAAATGTGCAATTGTGTATTTTTGAAAAATGGCACAAAAATCAAGCCCTGTGGCCATAAAACTCGCCAAAATGTCTCAGGTAAGAACTTAATTTTTGGCTTGTAACTAATAATTTGAAAAATAAAGTACTTTTTGAATTTTATATTCTTTCAATTGACGATTATGTCAATTTTTTCGAATTTTCTGTAACGTCAACTGGCAATTACGCCAATCAAAAAAACTAAATGTCTCAAGTGAGAACTAAACTTTCGTTTTCTAAACTAATAATTCCAAAAATAAAACATATTTTGAATTTTTTTCCTAAACTGACAATTGCGTTAATTTTTTTGTACCGTCAACGGGCAATTACGTCAACTTTTGAAACAGTTGTCAAAAGCGGTTTGGTTTAAAAAGTTAATAAAACTAATTATATTTAGATTGAAATGTATAAAGATGTGGATTTTATTGGTTTTTGACGTAAAAGTGTGCATTTATTGTGTATTTTGGAAAAACGTCACAAAAATCAAGCCCTGTGGCCATAAAAGTCTCAAAATGTCGCAAGTAAGGGCTATTTTTCTTTATTTTTTTTTACCTATTGGCAATTACGTCAATTTTTTCGAATTTTCGCTTACGTCAACTGACAATTACATCAATTCTTGAATCATTTCTTAATAACGAACTTAACTCGAACTTTCGCATTTTGTGTCCATCTTTGGTTGAAATTTACTAAATTTGTGCAAAAATGACACATTTTGAATTTAATTTTTCGTCAACTGGCAATAGTCAATTTTTTAAATCAATTTTTAAAAGCGGTTTTAGACGAAAGTAATCACGTTTTGATCGTAATTTACATTGCGTGTGGTTTTATTCTGTTAATGATGTGTATTTTCTTGATTTTTAACGTAAAACTGTGAGTTGTATTTTCGGGAAATGTCACAAAAACCATAAAACTTGCCTAAAAGTCTCAAGTGAGAACTAAATATTTGATTTCCAAACGAATAATTCCAAAAATTGAATTTCTTCTCTTCAATTGACAATTACGTCAATTTTTTCAAATTTTCTACCGTCAATTGGCAATTACGTCAACTTTTGAAACAGTTTTTAAATAAAAGCGGTTTGGTTTAAAAGGTTAAAACTATTTATATTTGGATTGAAATGGACATTACGTGTGGTTTTATTCATATAAAGAGTGGCTTTTATTGGTTTTTGACGTAAAAACGTGCATTTATTGTGAATTTTGGAAAAATGTCTCAAAAATCAAGCCCTGTGACCATAAAACTCGCCAAAATATCTCAGGTAAGAACTAAATTTTTGGCTTGTAAACTAACAATTCCAAAAATAAAGCACTTTTCGAATTTTCTTTTGTTTCAATTGACGATTATGTCCATTTTTTCGAATTTTCTGTAATGTCAACTGGCAATTACGCCAATCTTTGAAACAGTTTTCAAAAGGGGGTTAGCTTAAAACTAAATGTTTCAAGTGAGAACTAAATTTTCTTTTTCCAAACCAATAATTCCAAAAACAAAACACATTTTGATTTTTTCCCTCAATTGACAATTACGTCACTTTTTGAAAAATTTTCTACCGTCAATTGACTATTACGTCAACTTTGGAAACAGTTTTCAAAAACGGTTTGGTTTAAAAGGTTAAAACTAATTAATGGACTGAAATGAACATTGCGTGTGATAATGATGTGTATTTTATTGATTTTCAACGTAAAAATGAGCATTTTTTGTAAAAAGTTTGCACAAATGTCATTTTGCAAGGCCAACGTAGTAAAAATGTGCATTTTTTGCATTTCCCGGAAACGTCATTTCGCAAGGCCAACTCCGGAATTTTGCTATTATCAGTTTTAAATTCGCACTTGCCCCCTTTATACCGTTTTATTGTGTCCCATAAAGTGTGTAAATTTGTCTTCCAACGTAATTAACTTAAATTAAGCCGAATTAGTGCTTCCGTTCGGTTAAATCCGGTCTTCTTCGTAACCAAACAATTGCCAGTCTTGAGACAAATTTATTTTGACATTTGACGTTTGTGTGTGTAGAAGTTAGTTTTGGTTATGTGTTGTGTTAATTAAAATTAGTTTAATTACTCGATTACTCATGACAGTAAGTAATTTCGTGTAGTGTGCGCCCCCCTGTAAGTAAAAAAACCGATTTCTTCCAGATTTTCATAACCCCACTCACCTGTTGCTCCACTTGTACTAACACAATAACCGTAAGTGCTTCCGGCCTTAAAATGCCCTCGAATCAGGCGAAATAACAATGTACAAGCCCCCCGAGAACACCAATCGGGTGAAATCAATCAAAAGCCGTTTCGAGAATGCGGCCGAAAGACAGCTCTCGAGACAGCTCAGCGACCCCGCGAAACGCAACATCAAACGCACCCCAGCCTTCCGTAATGACTTGAATTCGGAGAAAAACTTCCAGAGGAACGCCCAGCACAACCGCAGTTTCTACGTGGAGAAAATCACAGCTTTAAAGTCGCCCCCAGTGAGCCCCAAACCGCCCCTCACCAAGTCCAAGAGCTCGGCCGACTTCGCCCTCATCCGCAGCAAATTCGACCAGTGTCTCTACACCGAGCCGCTCCCCAAGGCGCTCCGGAAGCCCCCCGACATCGCAGAGCCCCCCGGCCTCACCGACACGCTCCGCGAAGCGCTGAAACGCCCCCTTCCCGCGGGGCCCGCCCCCCGGAAGCCCCCGAGGACTTTCGAACACACGCCGGTGAAAAACACGTCGTTTTTGCACCAAAAACACGACGCTAGATATATGCTGAGTAGGCTGGAAAACGCCCTCAAAAACAACAAAATCAAGAAAAAACAAGTGAAAGTGGAAACGTCAACCACATCGGGGGAGGATAGCGACGATAGTGTTTTGTTTAAGAGTAAATCGCAAAGGGGGATGCCTGAAATACCCGATAAAAACGGCTTTAATTTCAATTGTTTAAATGGCGGGTGTACGGCCACCTACGATAAAATAATAAATCAATCAAAATCGGAATTTTTTGTTAAAAATTACGATGAACCGGTTTATGCCGAACCGTTTCATTTCGACGATACGAAAAAGGACAAGGGGGCTAAAAAGAGTCTCTACTATATGGTAGGTTTAGTGATAAAAACTGCATTTTATCAAATGAATCACACGAAACAAAGTTGGCTTTGTTTACCACAGCCAGCTGCGGTCGCTTCCGATTTGGTACAATAACTGTTTTTTTTTTTATTTTGGAAGTAAATAATTTTCAGTGAAATCGAAATGTTTTTTCAGTGAAACAAGATTTCTAAACCACTTAATTTTATATTCAAAATAGTTGTCGACCTGTGCAATTAGTTGCAATTGAAAACAAAACTTTCTTCTATTCAACAGATTTATCATTTAAAAGAGTAATTAATTAATCGAAATGTTTTTTTTTTCAAATTAAAAATTAATCAGAAAGTGATATTTTTTGAAAGAAAGTGTAATTTGTATGCTGGGGGGCAAAGAAAACGTTTTATTAATTTCTAATTTTGACCTCTTTTTTGTTTAAACCAGTTGGGGTTTTATTTTTTTTTGTTTCGTAATTTTTTAATAAAATCAATGTTTTGTTTATTAAGTGAAGGAAGATTGTTGGGAATTGGTGCGATCATGTGCTATAAATAAATTGATTTAATTAATTTGTAATCTAGGTTGAATTACAGATTAAAATAACGGGTTAAAGTGTAATAAGAATGTGTGATAACTGTTGAAAGGGCGTAGAAAAAATGTGTAAATGTGATTGTTGTATTATGGAAAAAATTCCACAGTCTCATCATTTACGGTTTCATGAGAGAACGACTCGTTTTTAATTTTTTATCAAGATAAAAATAATGGCCTATTTGGGAATAATTGCAGCTTTTTACCTAATAATTACATATTTTTTCAAGTCGAATATATAAAAGTAAAGTAATGTTAAATTACATTTTTTATTGAATTGTACGAGTATAGTAGGCTGTGATGTACTTTTACGCAACAATTTCTAATCATTTCCTGCATTTCCACGATTTTAATATTTG